GACCATTCTTCTGCCAAACCAATGTGCATTGTCAGAGCTTATCTGTCAAAACACTCTGTAACATTAAGTACCAAATGTCTTGTGGCCGCTTCATTTGTCCCAGCTACCTTTGACAAATAAGATGAAATATGTTTTGATTCCATGAACATTAAATTTAGGCACTCAATATAAATTCTTTGTTAAATCAAATCCCTCATTAGAATCAGTATTATCCTTTTGAACCATTACCTCCTTGTTCCTTCTTTACTGTAGATTTTTCTTTGGAAAACTCATGCTATCTAAATTTCCTATCTCTCTGGAATTCAAATAAAAGCAAAATATTACAGATGCTGAAAATTTGAAACAAAAACAGATAACGCTGAATTTGGCAGGCCTGGCAGCATCTGTGAGAGAGAAACAAAGTAAATGCTTTGAGTTCAAAGACTTCTCTTGTTTGGACTCAACATTAACTCTGTTTCTCTCCACAAAGATGCTGCCAGACCTAGTGAGTTTCTTCAGTAATTTCTGTTTCTCTTTTCAAGTTTAAGGTTTTTAAAATTTCATTAGCATTTCCAATGTACTCTGTTTATCTTTTCCTCTCTTTTCATGTCAAGTTTTCTTACCCATGAGTCCCTTTCCATTATTCTTTATTTCTTTCTCTCCCATAACTCCAGACTTTTTATTTCCAACCTTTTTAAGGAATCAATGGTCCAAATTGCTGTTTTGTTGGTGTTGGGCAGACCCTACCCTCACATCCCCTCAGCTGATGAATCACAACTCCTCCATGCCAAACAGCACTTGGAGAAAGCACGAAGGACACAATGGACACAAAACATACTCTGGATGGGAACTTTAACAGCTATCATCAAGAGTGGCTTTGCGGCTTCACTATTTATTGAGCTGGTCCAGTCTTAAGAATACAGCTGCTAACTGGGTCCACTGTGGGTGGTGAGGGAACCAACAAGAGGGGAAAACATACTTGACTGCATCCTTACCGATCTGCCTGTTGCAGATGCGTCTGTTGATGACAGAATGTGTAGGAGTGCCCACTGCACAGACCAAGTACTGTCTTCACATTGAGGATAACCTCCAGTGGTGTGGTACTACCACTATATTAAATAGGATAGATTTTGAAGTATATAACAAGTAAAAAGGTGCTGTGTGCCATCAGAAGTAGAAGAATTGTAGTCACACACAATCTACAACCTCATACCACACCATCAGGCTAGGGATCAACCTTTGTTCAATGGAGAGTGCAAGAGGGCATCCTAAGGGCAGCACCAGACACACCTAAAAGTGAGATGTCAACTTGGTGTAGCTAGAACTCGGAGCTACCTATATGCCAAACAGTTTATAAAGCAAGTGATGGACACAGTTAAATGATTCTGCAACCAACAGATCAGATCAAAGCTCCGCAGTCTTGGCACATTTAGTCACTGGAGGAAGATGCTCCTAAAATATCCCTACACTTAATGATTGGCCTAGTATATCAGTCTGAAAGTTAAGGCTTAAGTAATAGTAACAACTTTTTAATCCAGAAGTGTCGAGTTGATGATCCATCTCGGCCTCACCTGGATGCAGCCAGCATCATAGGTGCTAGTCTTTAGCCAATTCAATTCACTCTGTGATATCGAGAAACAGCTGAAAGCACTGGATATTGCAAAACCTATGGGCCTTGACAATATTCTGGCAATAGCACTGAAAATTTGTGCTTCAAAACTGGATGTGCCCCTAACAAAACTGTACCAATCCCGCTTCAACCCTGGCACCTACACAGCAGTGTGCAATATTGCCCAGGTATGTCCCGTAGACACCAGTTTCTCAAGGCCAGCTAGGGACAGGCAATAAATGTTGACCCAGCCAATGATGCCCACATCCTGCAGATAAATGAATTAAAAAAGAAAATCAATCTGGCCAATCATTTCCCTATTAGTCCACTCGATCATCTGTAAAATAAGGGAAGGAATCATCAACAGTGTTATCAAGTAGCACATGCGTAGTAATAACCTGATGCACTCAACTCCTGACCTTATTTCAGCCTAGGTTAAAAAATGGACAAAAATGAACTCCAGAGGTGAGGTGAGATTGGCTGCCATTTCCATCAGGTTATATTTTGCTGAGTGTTGTATCAAAAAGCCTGTGCAAAACTGGACTCTGGGAATTGGGAGGAAACTTTCCACTGGTTAAGTCATACCTGGCCTAATGGAAGATGGTTATGTTTGCTAGAAGTCAGTCATTTCAGTTCTAAGAGTATTTCTGCAGAAATTGCTCAGGGTAGTGTCCTAGGCCCAACCATCTTCAGCTGCTTCGTCAATGACCTTCCCTCCAATGTAAGGCCAGAGGTGGGGGTGTTTGCTGATGGTTGCATAATGTTAAGCACCATTTACAACTCGGCTACTAAAGCAACACCTGTGCAAGTACAGCAAGACATGCTGAGTGATGGCAAGAACTGCAGCTGCTGGAGTCCGAGTCGATACAGTCTGGAGCTGGAGGAACACTGCAGCTCAGGCAGCATCAGAGGAGTAGGAAAGTCAACATTTCGGGTCGGGACCTTTCACTTCTGAAGAAGACATGCTGAGTTTCTCCAGCACTTTTATTTTAAATCAGATTACCAGCACCAGCAATATTTTGATTTGTTTTTCACTGACTGTCCTGACTTGGAAGTATATTGTCATTCCTTTATAATATCACTGCTCCTTCACTGTCGCTGGATCAAAATCCTGGAACCTCCACCCTATCAGCACTCTGGTTCTACCTACATCAGATGGACTGTAGCAGTTCATTACCAATTTCTCAAGGTCAATTAAGGATATGCAATAAGTACCAACCCACAAGCAACATTCACATTCTCTGAAAGAATAAAAATAAAAAGACCCTCACCCCATTACCACACTAGCCTTTGGCTCAATTCTCACACCACTTTAGCCCTTTAAGATTGGAGTTTGGAATTAGCAGCATGCAAATCATCGGTGTCCCAAAGTAATTTGAATGCAGAGACACAGAAAATCTGTGCATCTACACCGGATGCATCTTCTGGCTTTTAGCTTGCTTTATGAACACCCACACACACTTTGCATTTACTTGGAAGCTGTCACTTTCTGAATGACTTGCAATTGTTTTAAGTGCACAAGGTCTTCAGTGCCCAGTTACAGGCTTCCTATGTCTGTGACTTGCATTGTTTTTAATGGAGAGGAGGAGGCAGACAGGTTGTCAAGGTGGGGAAAGCCGAATTTTCAAGGGGTTGACGTCTCATTGTACAACACCATGTTACATCAACATCATAGCTGTAGCATGTACCAACAGTTTTCATGGCAAGCACACTGCATGTGCTTCAAGCAAATGCCAGTTTGAAAGTCAAAGACGAGTGGTTCTTGGTAGGGTCAGTTGGGGTTACACCACAGTCAGTCAAAAAGGCCTTATCTGATTATACTGCAGCAGGTTGGCCACAGTCAGCTAGGTGCTTAGTCCTTTCAGAGTCCAGGGATCTGTGCCCTTGCAGCCTGTTCATTGAGCCACCATCAGTTCTGCAGTCAAGACCAACTAGGCCAAAAATTACAAGTAGGATCAGACTGGGGTCTGGTCCAGTTTTCCTGCAATGCAATAAAGTGAAGGATTGAGTATGATGGACATGGATGGAACAATGGTTATTGGTGATGCAGAACCAGGAGAAGTTGTGAGGTGTCCCAGTGCATGAGTAGGAAATACAGAGGACAGGAAGGGTTAGCAGTTTGGCAAGATGAGATTGATGAAAGTAGTAGTTGAGTGAACAGGATACGTGCAACAGTGAGATAGTAATCCATCAACCCAGATGAGACGTGTGTGCAGTGGCAGAGTTATAATGATTGGGTGTCTGTGTGAGTTTTAGGTAGCATCAAGGAGATTGGGCTACCACTTCCAATTCCCTTTGCTGGAAATGGGGTGTGATCTTTCCTTTGTGTTGTGTTTGGTAATAATGGTGGAGCACTATAGTGGGAGAGGCAGTTTCTGGCTTGCAGCACGTGAAGGAGTGTGCAGCTGGGCTTTAAATATGATGCCTGTGTAGTGAATGTAACAAGGTCCTGGTAATGGCTAGAACTTCCATAGCTTATGCCACGCAATTTCATCAGAGGTGTGAAGAGCCTTGTTGTCTAATTAATCAGATGTAAAGCAGAAGATTACACGAGAATGGGTACTCTAAGCCATGGGGATCTGGGTGCTATGAGTCACACTCCTTAAAACACTTATACTGAAATAGGGAAAGTTCTGCCCAGTTTGCATTGTCTGCTCAGAACAGTGGTCAGTCTCTGACTTCCCCATGACCTGGTCCATGCCACGATTGTGACAAGAGTCTTCAGTCTTATAACCTACACATTTGAATTTTCTATCTGCTACATCTACCTAAAATCCTTTCTAAACCTACTATTCTAGCCATGTATTACATGATTTGTCGGACCTTGTTTTCCCCATCCCAGTCTTTTTCACACATACTTTATGACATTATAGATTTAATGCAAAGGCAGATTGATTAGACATTCTCAGGTCTGTACAAGATCCTGTAGTGATTGAAAACTTTGAATTAATGAATTTGCAGATCAGTTATGCAATGCAGGCATAATTTACCAACAAGAGGACTGTCAACAGAAACACAAAGTATAGCATCCTGTTATGTTGTGGATCTTAAATTATTTTCAGTAACATTTGTGAATAATCGAAAATATGGATAATCCGGTTTCCACTACAGAAATGTTCTAAAATACTTCCTGTGCCTCGTTCTCCAATTTTTGGCTCAACATAAAAGTTAAAATAGTACATGTTTGATGATTTTCATCATCTAGCAGCAAAATCTTGCTTCTGAGTCATATAAGTAGGTACTTAACTATTTGACTTAGTCATCCAATTGTAGAAGAAAGCTCAAGTTTTTGTTGGTGTTCTAGGGCATGCATGTGTCAAAAAGCAAGACTTTTCTTCACAGTAAACCTAGGTTTTGAGATCAGAGAAACTTTTGAGAGTACTATAATTGTGTTTCTGTTTTTCCCTGCAAGCTTCATTCTTCCAGACACAAGCAGAAAAAGCCGTCAGAAGACTCGGGTTGTGAAGAACAGTAGAAATCCTGTATTCAATCACACCATGGTTTATGATGGTTTCAGCACTGAAGATCTTAAGGATGCATGTGTTGAGCTTTCCGTCTGGGACCATGACAAACTGATTAATCATTTCCTTGGAGGACTGAGGATTGGCCTTGGCACAGGTAACAGCCTCTGAAACATGGTGCTGAAATTAGTACAGATTTAAATTTCACTGTAGTCCACTGTAGCTGTTTGGTAACTATTCCTGATGTGAATTTCATACTTTGACCAAGAGAACTTTTGAAATAATTCTACAAATCAGAAATTGCAATTTGTAATTTCTTTTTAAACATTGAATGCTGTGTTAATGCAATCAAAATTAGATTGCAATCCTGTCAGGCGACCACATAATCTCCAATTTGAAACCGATTGTTCCTTGGTATTGTACAATTAGCATAATATATCTAAGCCAGTTCAAACATAACTTCACTGTGAGCTTTTTGTATAAATAAAACACTTTTTCAGTTGTCCCCATGATAGCAGTGGTTTTGATCCTTAAAGGACCTGTTCCTCAATTTTTAATCCCAACCTATGCAAATACATTTGCTTAGTTTACCCGATGGTGACCCTTTTTAACCTAGAGAATTCATTGGGTGGCACAGTGGTTAGTACTGCTGCCTCACAGCGCCAGGGACCTGGGTTCAATTCCACCCTCGGGTGACTGTCTGTGTGGAGTTTGCACATCCTCCCCGTGTCTGCGTGGGTTTCCTCTGGGTGCTCTGGTTTCCTCCCACAGTCCAAAGATGTGCAGGCTAGGTGGATTGGTCATGCTAAATTGCCCGTAGTGTTCAGGGATTTGTAAATTAGGTGGGTTATATGGGGATGGGTTTGGGTGGGTGCTCTGAGGGTTGGTGTGGATTTGTTGGGCCAAAGGGCCTGTTACCACACTGTAGGGATTCTATGATCTATCTATACGAGTTCAAGATAAGCAAGATTGTTGTGGAGGATTCAGTTGACTGTCCATGTTTAATCTCTGGTACATATGAATGTACAAATGTATGATATAGAAGTAGAAGTCTCTTGAGCCTGCTGTGTCAGTCAATAAATTTGTTTCCCATCTACATCTAGTAACCCTTGAATCACCTGCATAACCATAAACTATCCATCTCTTAAGTATTCAAGGAATCTGTCTTCACTGCCTCCTGAGGCAATGCTTACTCTTCTAAACTTCACTGGAAAAAAGCCCACCTATCCAACTTGTCCTCGTAAAACAGCCCCTCTTTCCAGGTATCAATCTAGTGAACCTCTGAACCACCTCCAATGCTTTAAAGCCTTCCTTAAAATAAGGAGCCCTAAATTGCACAAAGTATTCAAGTGAGCGACTTACCTGCATGTGTGAAGCATAACGTTCTTTTATGTTCAGTTTCTCTCATAATAAAGGATAGCATGCCATTTGTGACTCCTCAGATACTGAAGAAGTCTGTGCCCAAGTGCAGAAAATCCTGTTATCCAGGTTTGGACACTCAAGGTGGAAAGTAACATTGCCTGGCACTTGTATGGCATTAATGACCCTCTTCAATTTAGAATCTAACCATTAACCCTGATGTGCAATTGTATCACCATTACTGATTACCCCACTATCGACATCCAGGTGGTTACAATTGACCAGAAACTGAACTGGACCAGCTATTTAAATACTATGGTTACAAGAGTTGTTCAGAATCAGAAATATGGAATCCTGCAGGGAGTAACTCACCTCTTGACTCCCCGTAGCCTGTTCACCATCTACAAGGCACAAGTCAGAAATGTGATGGAATGTTCCCAACTTGCCTGGATGAGCACAGTCCCAACAGTGCTCAAGAAGCTTGACACCATCCAAAGCAGCTCACTTGACTGGCACCACATCCACAAACATTCTTTCTGTCCACTGCCGACATTCAGTAGCAGCAGTGTGTAAAGTTTACAAGATAGCAGGAATTCACCAAGGCTGCTTAGACTGCACCTTCCAAATCAACAACCACTTCCAAGTCAACAACCACTTCCATCTGCAAGGACAATGGCAGCAAATACATGGGAACACCACCACGTGCAAATTCCCATTCAAGCTACTCATCATGCTGACTTGGAAATATGTTAGTTTCTTCATTGTCACTGGATCAAAATCCTGAAACTCCCTCCCTGACAGCCTTGTGGGTGTACTCCAACCAAAGGGAAAGCAGTAGTTCAAAATGGCAGCTCATCACATCTTCTCAAGTGCGACTTGAAATAGGCAACATATTTTGGTCCAGATGGTGCTGCCCATACCCCATGAACTATTTTAAAAAAAAAAATCAGTAGCCTTAGTTGCATGCTGGACTGGCATACTAATGTTTTGGGACCTGTTCACCAGAACACCTAAATTCATCTGTACCTCAGGATTCTGTAGTCATTCTCTGTTTGAGTAATACAGTTTTGGTATTTTTTTCTACCAAACTAATCAGCTTCATATTTCTTTCATACTTGTACCAAGGCTAATGATGTCTAAAGCCAAGTGACCCTTGTGGAACTGAAACTGAGCATTGGTGAAGAGGGTATTGCTGAGTCAGTGTTGTTTGAAAAGATGTGTGCAAGTACTTTACACATGTTATTTGCATTGGATGATATTTGTGGAATTTGTTCCTTTTATTTAATTGACCATCACTATTCACAACTTGATGTGGCAGGGTGGCAGAACTTTGATCTGATCCATTGGTTGTGGGATCATTGAACTTTGTATTTTAGTTCTTTTTTTTTTCCCTTTTCATGGGATGTGGGTAAGACAAGGCCAGTAATTGAGATAACAAGGTGTAGAGCTGGGTGAACACAACAGGCCAAGCAGCATCAGAGGAACAGGAAAGCTGAAGTTTCGTGTCTAGACCCTTCTTCCATTTTCTGAAGAAGGGTCTAGACCCGAAACGTTAGCTTTCCTGCTCCTCTGATGCTGCTTGGCCTACTGCGTTCATCCAGCTCTACACCTTGTTATCTCAGATTCTCCAGCATCGGCAGTTTCCACTATCTCTGAAGGCCGGTATTTGTTTTCCATCCCTGATTATCCATGATCACATTACTGAGATTAACCTTTCTTTTCTGAATTGATTAATTTAAATTGTACAAACTGCCATGATGGGATTTGAATCCATCCTCCCACGGTATTTGAATCCATCCTCCCACGGTATTTGCCTTGGGAATTACTGATCTAGTGACGTCTATTAGTAGAACTAGTAGTTAAGCAGGTGATTGTGGCTAATTGATCAATTACTTGACTGGGTAGACATTCCATCTTGTTCAGTCGATTCAAAAGTTACCTCACCTTTCTATTCTGCTCTTCGCTCAACATTTCAGTATGGCCCACTATTATAATTGCAACTTGCTCTGTCAAGTGGCATTTGCATCTGTTTATTTTGTACAGAACAATGGAAGTGCTCTACATCATTACCTCATGTACTTGTGACAGCAGTCATTCGTGTAAATTTTTAGTGATGTAATTAATATGATGCCTTTGTGAACAAAGTCTGAAATATTCCCTTTGACTATTCTTTTTATTTTACAGGTAAAAGTTATGGATTGACAGTAGACTGGATGGATTCTACAGAAGAAGAAATATCTGTATGGGATAAAATGATGACCCATCCAAATACTTGGGTTGAGGACTTGCTCCCTTTGAGAATGTTGATGCTCAGCAAAATGTCAGGAACCTAAACTGAACATTTTACAAAAACTGAAAAAGTTGTTTTATAAATTGGTATGCCAAAAAAAAAATTATGCCTGCACACTAGTTCTGATTGTCTGGAACAAAAGTTTTTTTTAAGTTTTGTTGTTGTGACCAATTATTTGTACTAGGCTGAGAAGCAAATGACATGGATTTACCTGAACAAAAATAAGTTTATTTAAATTTTATTAAAAGAAAAGCTAAAGCTATATGCTGCAATGTTTAAAAAATATATATAATGCTAGAAATAATAATTCAGTTTGTAATGGACTTCAAAGTTGAAGATTCAATTTAACTTTTTCAGTCGGATGCCACTATATTATATCGATGCTGTAATACATTAACTACTAACAAATCCAACTTTACTTTCATACGTGCGTTACCAGTATACAACAATCACAGAAAATCTGTGCAGTGATTATTTTCTGTTGGAGCACTTAAAATCTTCATAGTTTGACAATTGTTTAAGAAGTTAAGAATTAAAACATTCTTCACGAGCTGTTGCAAATACATACTGCAGAATCAGTTACAACTATCTATGTAATAATAAAGACAAAAGTTCATGGAGTTGTTTAAATTGTGTCTTATATGGGGATTATTAGGCAAATGCCAACATTGCTTGTGGCTGGCACAGCACATCCAGTTTATCTATATCATGGAAATTTTCATCTGCAATTCTCATGCACAGAATGCAGAAAATTTCTCTCACTTTGCTTTGATAAGTGCAACTCTGACAATGCTCAAGAAATTCAACAACATCCAGGACACAGCAGCCTGTTTGTTTGATTGACATCCTAACAAACACCTTCAACATGCACTTGCTCCACCAGCAATGACATCCTGCCACGCTGATGTACTGTGCCAAATGTAAAAAGATCCTAGGACAGCAACTTCCAAACCCGAGACTTCTACCATCTAAAAGGACAAAAGCAACAAATACGTGGAAATACTGCCACCTGCACGTTCCCCTCCAAGCCAAGCATCATCCTGACATGGACTACATACCATTCCTTCAATGTAGTTGGGTCAAAAATCCTGGCAATCCTGTAATCCCTCCCAAAGAGCACTTGATTGATTGATTTGATTTATTGTCACGTGTACTGAAATACAGTGAAAAGCTTTGTTTATGAGTGGTATAGGCAGGTCATAGTAAGCAAAGGATGTACAGATCAAAAAGACTTAGACAGTGGCGTACAGGTTACATCACATGGGGCATACGCTAGGTGAGATAAATGTTAGCAAGATCAGCATTATTTGAGGCTAGAGAGTACATTCATCAGTCTGATAACGGCCAGGAAGAAGCTGTTCCTGAACCTGCTGCTGCATGTGTTCAGGCTCCTGTGTTTTCTGCCTGATAGAAAAGGTTGTAGGAGATCATCACTGGGGTGCGATGGGTGTTTGATGTTGGCAGCCTTTTGGTGGCAGCGCTAAGGTTGTGACTAAACCACATGGGTTGCAATGCTTTCAAGGTGACCACCCCTACCTACTGGGTAATTAGGGATGGGAAATAAATGCTGGCCACAGCTGAAGAAGGGTCACTGGACTCCATGTTACCTCTGCTTTTTCTTCACAGATACTGTCAGACCTGCTGAGTTTCAATAGCAATTTCTGTTTTTGTTTTAGATCTTCAGGATCTGCAGTAATTTGTTTTATATAGAGGAGATTATCTGAATTGAGATTGGGAAAGGGGTAAGTCCAACAAAACGTGGGTGTCATTGTACACCAGTTGCTAAAAGTACACATGCAAGTGCAGCAGACAGTAAAGGCAGCAAATGATTTGCTGGCCTTCATAGTGAGATGATTCAAGTACAGGAGCAGGGATATCTTGCTGCTATTATCCAGGACCTTGGAGAGACAACACCTGAAATGTTGTCAGAGATAGTAAGAACTGCAGGTGCTGGAGTCAGAGATAACACAGTGTGGAGCTGGAGGAACACAGCAGGCCAGGCAGCATCAGAGGAGCA